GTCGCGAGGACTGTCCCGGGAGACCTATTGTTTCAACCCAGATGCTGCCTGACCTGCTGACTGTTCCCGGCGACTTCTGTTTTTGATATCACAGTGCACAGAAGTGTCCCACAAACAGTGAGTATGTGTGAGTTGTGCGCGGGTGTGAGTGTTGTGATGTATGTATGGTGATGTGTGTATATAAAGTAGTAATCTTGGCAATCTAATCTCTGAGACCCTTTTACCAATGTTATCTTCAAATTGCTCAAGAAATAATACCATATGGAACTACATTTCTATAGCGCCTTTCATGTCAGGAGGACGTCACCAGACCCTGGACAGTCGGTAATTTGGACCCGAGCTGGGAGGAGTTAGGATCAGGGAGGGTGGGGGTAGGAGGGCGTCCGAAGGCAAGTTCCAAAGAGTAGGGTCCTGAGATGTGCCTTGAAGGAAGCGAGGGAGGGAGGGAGGGAGGAAGGGAGCGAGGCGAAGGGAATAAGAGATGGAGTTCCACTGCAGGTGGAACGCACTGTGTAAAATTATCATTAATGATGCCACTTGGTTCCTGTTTGGTCTTTGAACCCAAGTAAAGGCTAGGTTGATACCCCAGAGCAGTTTTGGGGACAGCTTCCAGATCGGAAGGGCCTGGCCTACAATCCCCAAGATAGATTTGGTCATTCACTTCAGCTCAGATGTAACAACATTCACTCTCATGTTATTTGTAAACTGGTTTGAGATGGGTACTTCACATGATAGCAGCTATATAAACACAATATAAGTCATTATTATCAGACGCTGAGTAACAGCTGATTAATACAAACATACTGCAAACACAATGGGAGATTAACAGTGGCCTGTTTACATTGAGCTAATAGTTGTATGTGTGTAATTTGGCGGGGTTGTTTGACTTGTGTTGCCATTCGCACCCTAGGGTTTAAAGGTTGTCCCCCAAGCCTGGTCTGGAATGTTAATATTATACAGCAGTTCTGTACATTCAGTAGTCCGTTCACAACTGGGTTGAGTTGGGATTCTGTGCACCCTCTGGTGTTTGGAGGGAAGATAGCTCTTACAGTTCTTACTTCTGAGCCTCCTATTGTACTGGATTGGAAAGTCAATACCCCCCCCATGAAGGGCGCTATACAAATGCAAGTTGTTGTTGTTGCACTTGTCAGGCCAAATTGTGCTCCTGGTGATGGAAGAAGTTGGCGATGGAAGTGGAGCCCTGTAGCTCAGTGGTTAGAGCACTCGCCTCACAAGCGAGAGACCTAGATTCGATTCCCGGCAGGGGGAGAAACCTTGGGAAAGTTTCCTTAATACACACACCTGATAATAATCCCTCAAGAAAAAAATAATAATAATTTGGTCACTATCAGGTGCTGTATCATATGTAACGATTATTATTATTGTTACTGTTGTTGGGAGGTATTTCTCCTCTAATACTGAATGGCCTGCACTGGGCTGGCCTGTTTGCCCCTGGTGTTTGGGGTATTGCACTGGGCACTGGTCGATGCCCACTGGTGCTGTAGATCTGCATATGTCCTGGCTGTTCGCCACCTATATCTTGGAGAGATGCCCTAATGTGCACTATATTGTCTGTGCTCCATATGGCGTCAAAAGGGTAACGCAAACCTAGCGGGGGAATAACATCCATGCCCCTGGTACTGAGATGTCTTTCCGACATGAAGGGCGCAGTGTAATTTATAGTGTCATTTATGTTTGTTGTTGTTGAAAGGTTTGCACTGTACCAGGGTGGGTCAAAATCTGGTCCCCCACTTAATTGGCGAAGGAGTTTCCTCCTGGACTGGAGACGTCTGAGCTTTCCCTTAGTGCTCCCCAAGCAGTAGATGAGAGCTCACTGGTGTGTCTGTGCGTGTGTGTGTGTGCGAGGCTGCAGCACTCCCTAGCGTTGGCCGGGAAGTACTCCACCTGCAATGAGTGAGTGGCAGCGAGTGAGAGAGTGAGTGAAAAAAATGAAAGGCAAAATATTCCAGATGCTGGAAATCTGAAACAAAATCAGAAGCGGCCGGGAACACTCAGCAGGTCAGGCAGCATCTATGGAGAATGGAAAGTGGGTCAACGTTTTGGCTCCAGGACCCTTCGACAGAACTGTTGGGAGGGAGAGGCTTTTAAGGGTTAACAGAGAGAGGGGGAGGCAGGGCAAGGAAGACAGAGGAGTAAATGGGGTAGAGGACAGGGGATGATGGGCTAAAGAGGTGTTAATGATGCAAAATTAAGGAGGGCAGCAGAGGCAGACCAGAGAGAGAAAAAACGTGTCTGGGACAACAACACAACAACAACAAAATTACATTTGTAAAGCGCCTTTCACATTGGGAGGACATCCCAAGGTGCTGGACAACCTGTTTTGGACCTGAGCTGGGGATCGGGATCGGGCAGCGGAGGAAGGAGGGTGACCGAAGGCACGGTCGAAGAGGAGGGTCTTGAGATGGGTCTTGAAGGTGGCAAGGGAGGGGACGAGGCAGAGGGTCTGTGGGATGGAGTTCCAGAGGGTGGGGGCAGAGTG